AAATAAGAAAGAAAAGGAGGCTAATCAAGACTAAAAACGACATCAATCATGCCGCACGGCTTATTGATTGGTAGAAATCCACCACTCACATGTGCATCGCACCTACATACTAATGCAGACACAGCGTTTGTTACGCCAGCGGAAAGATAACAGAAACTACTATGGATTCTTGTGATAAGCACATGAAAATGGAAGTTCTTTGTTTAACTGACACTGTCGAAACAGGGTATCACCGAAGTTTACCACCGAATTTGGTGATAAGGGGTGGCTGCAGGTAGCACCAGAAAATGGATGATTGGAATGGCGGACACAGTTAGAAACCGTCCTTTTTTGGTTTAAACAGGCACATAACAGACTGCTGCAATTGCAGCACGTGGCTATATAATAGCTGCCTGCCACATAAATTATACAGAATATATAGTGCGTATCTGTATATAAAATATAACGTACGTTATAGTATAGAGTGACTATACTTTGAAATGTTTTGATCTTGTCCTTTCTGTTAAACTGAGAAGTGTATGTAATCTATATTCTGTATATCATTTATGTGTGAGGCATGAATCTGATTCAAAATGTCTGGTTACTTTTGTTTTAAACGAAACATACAAAAAAGACAATTTCTGTTATTTAAAAAAATTATTTTCTTAGGGTGGATGTTGTGTAGATCATTTCTAACTGACTTTTAGGTAGTTTTAGATGTGTTGTCTTTGACCTTTTCAAAATAGATTATTATGAGAAAAATTAGTCATGTACTAAGTAACGGCATCACAGTTCCAGTGAGCCAGCCTGTAAGTAAGAAGAGATAAAGTTTTCCCACTTTTATTGTCGGAAAGTTGAAGTGTTTTCTGTGATCATTCAGAGTGTTAAAAATCCATTATCTTTCGCAGGAAATACTTGTTATTTTTTTGAAATTTTGATATGCTTCAGATGAAATGTGTCTTTTTAGTAGTGCATATTTTTGCCTGCACCTTTATCACTCACTTATTTGACAAGGGGGAGGAAGAAGAAAAAAAGTATTAAAAGTACGTAATTATATGTGTTGATTTGAAAACCGGTTTGAAAATCTGGATTTATTCAGAGATGGGCGAGTAGGAGTATATACTCGAGTACAAAATTTTCAATACTCTTACTCGGGACTTTTTTTTTACGAGTACTTAAAAATGTACTCGAGCACTTGAAAGCTTTTTACTATTATGCTTTACAAAGGATTTTTGATCGTAAGTACATGTGATTATTGTAGTCGCAGAAAAACAAAATTGCAAAAAAATTCTTTAATCAATTTTTTAATCATATCTATGGCTACTACTACTTCAAACAATTGAATAATAAAGAGTAAAATAAAAAAACTCCTTTTGATACATTGAAGTTGTATTAGTACTGAAAGTTTCAAACAATTGGCATAAAGTCGACGTAGAGTCTGGTACACTTTTGAAAGAATTACTTGATACATAGCTAAAGTAATCGCTTTCAGATTAGCATTAGTTTCTTCCTCTCTTTTTTACCGCAACCCATACTAACTACCCACTCCTTTTCAGCTATAAATTAAAAAATTGACTTTGCTCAACCATTTATCTCCATAACAGTTAGTTAATCAGTTTGTTCAACCATTTATCCAAAACATATAAAGTAAGAAAAACTGCATAAAAAAAACATCAACTAAAAATAATCAACTAAAAATTAATTAATTATTTCATAGTGAGAAATAAAAATGAAAGTAAATCAAACTTCGCCATACTCAATATTAAAAAACAACACTCTGGCCAACATTGCAATAAAACGATCAACATTAATAAATCATTTGTGATTTTGATAATATTGTTAACTCTTTACGGCCGGCTGCATAAGCCATTTAGTAACAATATCCCCTTCTGTGCATATTCCTTTTCTGTCGGCTGCCAAAAATTAATTAATAAAAATATTCCTCCCTTTATATTTATTGTTTTGCTGTGACAGGGATCGGCAAAGTGTATTCTTTTAGAACGAAATTCCTTCGACACTTAATAGATCGATGTTACAGGTAGTCAACACCCGGCCGTAAAGGGTTAAATGAGAAAATGTTCGTTCACAAATCTTACGGATAGTATCAACTTCAACCTTAGCTCGATAAATATTTGAGGACAGTATATTATCCTTTTTTTTAACGTATACCATTTGAAATTAAACAGAATTTTTTCTATATTTTTCCTATATATTTCCTATATCATTTCTATATATACACCCTATACGGCTGTTAATGCTCGTCAAATAAAGCTTTTCTCTCATCCATAACTGTATGTATATACATTTGATCCATTGAATTTTTTTACATGTCAAAATCTTACTAATGGTTATTTTTGTAAATTTTTTTCTTTTTAATACATTTTTGAAGATGAAATAATGTTCAAACCAATAAACTACTAAAGTTTGATCAAAATTCTTCAACGTCAATAAAAGACAATGAATATTACTTAAGTTTTTACATGATCGGATGTAGTAATCCAAGGAAGCTTTCTTCAAGAAAAACTCGCATAAAATATGAAGCCAATGTGCAATAGAAGATTTACTGCAGAATGTAGACAAGATTTGTAGTAGGAAATTCTCCAAGAGTTTGCACAGAGCTGTCGTAGATTTTTAGTTAATATCAGCAGATTCTACACGAATATTTGTAGAGTATTAGAAATTTCTACAGATATTTTTGCGGCTACAAAATATTTCTCTCTTTTGCATTTAGTAAACGTGACAGTTTTATACGATTGCATATGACAGCCATTATATATGTCGTCAATAATAAGCCTCGAACAAAAACATACATACTCTCGAAAAAATATTATTAGTAACCGTATTCCGTTCTATATGTATATTACTCTTTGTCCTTCAATTTTGTTTTCTTCTATCAATAGTAAAAAAGTGTAATCGCAAGATACCTTTGCTCTCTTTTCTCATATTTGTCTGACACGTTGCTTGACGGTTGTTTTTAGCTACAGTTTGCATGACGCCTAGATTGAATGAAACTTAGATAAGGTGACACCACCGAGGATTGAACTATTCAAAAGGTCAGTAAGTACCAGAGACCATCACAGGGCAACTTTTTTCGCTCTGCTCTGTCCTGCCGCCCCGCCCTGTCTTGCCCTGCCCTGCCTTGTCTTGCCCTGCCCTGCCAGAAAATTACTCATAATAATCTTTTTTCTTACAGGTTGCCTTTTTTTCATTTTGAAGACCAATGATTAGTCCGTATTGTCGGATCAGTAAGATTTGAGAAAGACTTCTTTATTATCACGTGTAGATAAGATCCAGAACATTTGCTGTTTTCGTCCGATTTTCAACAAAGCAATTTTTGCGTCGGATGTTTTCACTCAAAACAAATTTTATTGCATGTCATGAGAGGGAGCACACAATCTCAAAGATCGGCTATATCCCAGGCAAAAGAAAAAATCGATAAGCTAGCTCGACCTAGGTAAAGTGGTACATTTAGCTAGTTCCAGCTAGATAGTAGCTAGCTAAATGTACCGCTTTACCTAGGTTGAAGCTAGCTTATCGATTTTTTCATTTGCTTGGGAGGATAAGTGAAAAGTGGTTTTCTTATGTTTCTTCTGCTAATGCTATTAAGTTACTGTATGATTAGATAAACCTTAAAATATATAGAAATGATAGTTAATGGTGTCTTGATGGTAGTGAGTTGCTTAGAGTAATACTAGGTACTTACCAGAGATCATCACAGGACAGGACTGCCCTGTCGTCCTGCCGACCTGCCGGGCAGAAGAATATATTTTTTTTACCCTCTCAAAAAATTCTTTGATTTGCCCTGCGAGAGATTGATTTTTGAGACTTTCAAACTTTCTAAGTAAAATGTTGAGATCTCTCGTATATGTGAAAATAAAAATGACAGTCAACTTTTCTGAAATTGATAATTAATAAAACAAACTGGTTCTGTTACGCAGGAGAAACACATCCAGTATTTGCGATGAATTTTTTTGGTAAAAATATTAACTCAATTAATTATAAGGAAGGAGAGAAAAACTGGAAATATTGACTATAATTCTTTTTGCGTCATCGGTTAGATTTAGATTAGATAGATGTAACTTTCATCTGGTTGCAACTAGATAAAATCTAGTCTCAATTTGGTTCAGCTACACTGTAATCTTGAAAGTTATTTATAGAAAATCGCCGTTGATTTTCAGAAAGTCCATATATGAAATCGCCGAGGATTTTCTATTTTATAGAAAATTGAATTAAATCAGTGTATTTATAGAAAATCGACACCGATTTTCAAGAATCTTGAAAATCAATGTCAATTTTCTATAAAATAGAAAATCCTCGGCGATTTTCTATAAATAATTCCCTCGACGGACTGTGGTCTAGAAAGAAAAAAATTCGAAGTTATTCGAAGTGTGAAAATATTTGCACTTATATTTACCCAAGAATGTAAAACAAAACGATGATTGAAGAAGAATCTTGGAAATTATTTATAGAAAATCGACTCGATTTTCAAGAATCTTGAAATCAACATTTTCTATAAAGTTGAAAAATCGGTGAGGATTTTCTATAAATTTGAAAATCCTCAGGGATTTTATAGTCGATTTTCTATAAAATTGAAAATAATTGAAGATTACAGTGTAGCTGTTGTCGATTATTTAGGCAATGGAGTATCTAACTAAGCGGTCACTTCACCTAGGACACGATTTAAGCCAGCTTGCTGCTGAATAAATATATCTTTTAATCTAGCTGATTTAGATCTTTGCAGCCAGATTCTCGCTTACTTACTTTTGCTTAGTATTGTTATTTCGTAACTGGATTTGAACCTATAAACTTGGAAAAAATATGGAAAACATTATTTTTAATTATATTTACATGCGATAAAAAGATTTTGTTATATGAAGAAACGTGGACTTTAAAAATCGATACGATTACATAAGATATTTTATGATATTTAAAAAACTTTAAAATCCGGGGGTATCAATCACTGTATTCATCCGTGTAATGAAGTAAAATCTTGAGTTTTTTTCAGATTAATACATAAATCAATGGCGACTATTGCTGATAGCCCGTCAAATAATGATGCTTATTTATGTCAGAATCCATCCAAATGTTCAAACCAATTGGATAGTAATCCTATCCCTTGTACTCACTGTAACAATCTTCTTTGTGATGTTCATATAAAAGAACATTACCGTCACTCACTTGTAAATGGATATAAATTACAATTAGAAAAAGAGAAGCAATGGTTAGAAGCAAATGCATGCACTTCACTGGCGATTAAAATTATATTTTTACAGCATATAGGGACCGTCGAAATCTTAATCTGTAATTATTTACAACAAGCTATTATAACAGCTGACCAATTTGAAGATGTAGAAAAACGTTATAGAATATGTTATACTGCAATGGCAGAATTGAAAAAATTGGTTAATACAAAGCAATCATTCGACTATCATATTCAGACATCACCAGTCAAAGTAGATGAAACTAAAGTGTTGTTTCGTGAAAAAAGCTTAAGTAAGCGCAACCATTTTTCTTTAGCCTGTAAATAACTGTTCTATTTTTTTTTAGATGAAATACCGGGCAAAGGGAGTTTAGAAAAATATGAAACATCGTCGTATGCATCGAGTCAAAGTCAAACCAAAGAGGTGATGAAAAAACGCATAAACTGCTCAATGAATATCTTAACGCAACTCGACTATTGATTTGCAGAAAAAAATTATTTCCCATTTTAATCCTCACTAACATCTTTCTTTTGTCATTTTAGCAAATTAACTATGATGCAATAAAACCGGCAAAAACAGCCAAGGAAAAATACGACAAAACTTATGGATCCCTTATTGAAAGTATTAGAAAAAATTTAGCTGTTAGCTCAATACACACACCAGCAGTAATGGCAGCAGCTGGTCTTCAGTATACAGGTGTTGACGATCGTTCAAAATGTGCAAATTGCGGGTTAGAAATTTCTAATTGGACACGAGAAATGATACCATTTGACGAACATAGAAAACGTAGTCCAACGTGTCCATATGTGAAGGAAATGACACAAAATCCATTTACTATTACAAGTAAGGTTCAGTTTTCATTGTTCAACATAACACATTGATACATTTTTGAGAGCAGGAGTTTTTTCATACATCATTAAAGTTTGCTCACTAATTTGAAAGAACACGATTCGCAGAGAAACTTGCTGAAAGATATTTTATTTTAAAGAGATAAAAATACCTGGTTTTTTTCTCGAATTAGTGTAGCAGTGATTAACTGATTAATAGTAATTTGTTTGTATTACTTTTACATAGCAGCGACGAATCATGGAAATGAAGGTGAAATAACGTTGATAAATCAATAAAATGACAGTGATAGTGACAGTAGCGTTATGGATAGTACAATAAATTTTTAAGATCAAGATTAAAGTAGGGTTAACACGAAGTCGGATAACCTTATTACTAATTTTAATAATAAAAGTTTACTATGAAGACAAGGCAACTCAACAATAATTAGTAATAAGAAATCTTTTTGTTGTTGACTGTCCGTGTTTCCCTCTTAATCTAATCAACTCTTCATCCAGTATAATTGTTGTACTCTAAACGTTTTTTTATACACATCTTTTGAACAAAGCTTTAATATATATATATAATCAAGATTTGTTACATATATTACATTATTTATTTTGGATTATTATCTTCTTATCTATTAAATAAAATAAAATTGTTTTTTTTAATTGTTTTTTTACTGTAGTATTCTTTTTTTTGTATAGATAATATACTATTTTCCAATTTATTGTCATGAGATAATTATGAACGCATTATAACAATAAAATCAATAGGTAGAAAGCATTAGTAGATATGTACAACGCATATTGTTGATGGTCACAGTAAAATTAAAGAAGGGTAAATAACGGTAATAAGTCATTTTAATTTAATCTCATCTAGTGCAATGAAAATCAACTTGTCTTTAAATAAATGTTAATTTGAAATGGTTCACATGATTTAAAGTCAATACTTCGTTGCAAAGCTGAAGGATGTTAACAGCTAACTTGGCAAAATCAAGTTCGCATTTATAACCGTTTGAGTTTAACTATCGTTTGATGCGAACTCAAGTATTTCTAAAAACAGAGAGATTAAAAGTGACGTCATCTTTGTTAGAATGATGAAAAATAGTACTATTTATCGAGATATATCATCAGCTATCTCATGACATCGGCCGTTAAATGATTAGTTCACCGAGTGAAAACCAGAATAGAAAGCATAAACTAGATGCCAACAGAGGTCCGCGAAAATTGGAAGCCGACTGCATGAGACGCGAATGGGACCAGCTAGCTTCTACCTATGGCAGTACAGTGGATATAACTCTTAGTAAACTGCTATATATGTTTTCTCGTTTAACAACAAAAATATGTTTTAAATTTTATTGCCAAAGATGGCATCGACGTGACAGACGTGCGCATAGATTTTTGTCGATGTATGTGAAACATACTCCATGCTAAAATTCTTTTTTCAAATGAACGCGGCATTAACATTATTTTTACAGTGTCGCGAGTTAGATAGACTACGTATTATCAGTGAAATAATTTATCATTACCTTCATTATATACAATTGATGTCGACGACTTGTCAATAAGCTCTAAATGTCAATCAATCTTTTTCAACCAAATTACTTACTGAATAATTGTTCTATTTAAAAAATACTATCAGCAGACGTTTGTTGTCTATTATATAAAAAACAAAGACAATTGTATCGGTAGAAATTTCATCTACCAGAAAACGAAAAAAATTTGTTAACAACAATGTTCATTTAAACACTAACAAAAAATCTGTTTTACAGAAGGATTTCACAAAGACAAAAGGAAAAACCTAATATGTCAAGATAATATTGGTGATTTTTCCTTTTCTTTGCATTCGAGATTAAATGGTGGTATTCTCACTTCAAAATAAGTTCCATCATCTCGTTCCATTTTGAACGTTCCCCACATATGACCAGATGGAGCTTGTAATGACACGTGGCTACTATATTGAAATACTGGATATTCACGAGATAAACGAGGCTCGTGACCTACAACACCTTTTCCACGAACCGTCTCCAGTGTACCACTTAAACTAAATATTCTCCAATGTCGTTCACGTAATGTAACCGATTCATCTGGTACTAAATTTTCAATTCGAATTGAATATCGCCACCAATAAACATTACTCGCTTGATGCGATCGACAACCCCTGAAAAATCAATATAAATTATTATTAGACTTAAAAAAGAGAAAAATAGTGATAAAACGTACATGTAAAATGGTATTACGGTTACTCTTATTCCTTGCGTCACATCTTTGCATACGTCGGATAATTCTAACCATAAATGATGTCGATCTTGCCAAGATTTTAAATGTTCACGCGGTACAAATTGTGGACTGGAATCAGGATCATGCATCAAAAATTTATCAAATAATTCGTGAATAATGGGAGTTCGTTCTGTACTCGTATAGGGTAAAACATCTTCATGAGCAACGTAGTCTGGTAAGAAAATAAAGATATTTTTAAAAATTTCTATAGGATGAATTCAAAGAATTAAGATACCTAAACCAGGTATGGCATAAAGTGATCTATTCGAATCTTGATTTCCAAGAAATGTAACAGCTTCTGTTTGTGCACGAATATATGGCATATCTCGCGTATCGATTAATACTTGATAATAAGTTAAAGTTTTTGCTTTAACTTCGTGCGATGATGCATGAGTACGTAAATCAGTTTTTAGTGTTTCAGAGCGATCATAAACACGTGCCAACCATGGAAATAATACAACACCTTAAAAATGAAAAATAAAAGAAAAAAATTAATATGTGATAGTTCAGAATAATTGTCGTATATACAACAGACACATACCGCGATAGCCAAATATTCGATGAAGAAATATCTAAACAGAGACAAAAAGAAAGTGTTATCAAAAGGGTAACCTTCTCCATTTCTCTTTAAAAGCAATATTTTTATAAAAGATATTTTTTGTGTTTATCATGTTCTATGGTAGAGTCTTCCTCAACAATATGATCTATATTCATGTCTGTGAATAAAATCTTTGACGAAAGAAACAACAAAATTAAAAATTCATTGATGAAGATCGAAAAGCAGCAGATCTCATTAGAAGTTTTATTCTTCATGTTAAAAATAATTTTAATAGTGAAATGAATAAAAAATGTTTCCTACAACAGGCGACATCTCTTTAGTATTGAACAACTACAACAGTTCCACTAGAAGCCTTAGAAGATAAAAAATTGCGACATCTGTAGTGTAGCGATGATAATCGACTGGAAACACGCTTTCTTGTTGATGTATTCCATCAGTGTATATTACGACCCGATCAAAAATTTATCCGATTAAACTGAAAAATTTCACACAGATACGCAAGATCCCATCTTAAATTAACATTTTATTTTGAAAATTATTGTTTTTGCTTCGAGTTCTAACAAAAATGTTGCAAATCTATTACATAATGAAAGATTCTAATACTGAATGCTCTTCCTATTCTAGAAAAAAACATATTTCCAAAAAAAAAATGGTAATCTCTAACATAAGATCTTGCATATCTGTGGTAAAAATGTCACCTTAATTAGATAAAATTTTCATGGGATCATAGAAACGACAATGGAGAACTCTTGTTTGCATTGAGATTTTCAGAAAACTAAGAGAGTTTAAACTTAAAATGGGTACTTTAGTCTTAATCTCTGATGATTCACATATCTGATGAAAATTTGAGCTTCTACTTCATTCCACATACATTCGTTAAGGAAATTTTGCCCTAAATTAATGCTAATTAGTTAGGAAAATACTGTTCAAAAATTGTATGGTACTAATTTCTAAATACTGATATAATTTGAAGAAGAAAGAATGATGGGCAAGTTAAATCGAGTGAAACGGTCTGTACTCTATATGGTATGCTTTTCTTCGATATTAAATGGGCGAGAAATATGAGTACAAAAATAAATTTGGATTTTGAAAAGAAAAATGCGTTTCTATTCAGAATAAAATGCACTTAGTAAACAAAATAAACTATTTCAACCGAATATGATTGAATTCATGATACATTAGTTTTGAGAAAAAAAATTGATTCCATTCCACTAAACTTCTATTGAAGATGTGTTTATTATTTTCTATCTTTCACTAATAATTTTAATATATCCCAGGATGATACGTTCTGAACTGGGGAGAAAGAAGATGTATACCCTGGAAAATATGATAAATTTGACATTCTAAAGTATATGAAAACTGTCTGCCATTTCTTCGCAATGATGCAAGTGGGAAGACCAGCTGAGTAAGTTCTTTATTATATAACATATTTTTGTCTCATATTTTCCTTTTTCCTCTAATCATCGTTAAACATCTATTAGAAACATTTATTTTGGCACATATATTTATTTTGTTAAAGATATTTATATAAAGTAGTAGTAAAACAAAACGTTCAAGTTTTTTCGCAATTACTACTAATACAAAAAGAAAAACAAAGGCAAGAGACAATTAGTAAAGAAAAACAAACCAGCACTTTACTAGTTTATACACTTATCTCTGGTACACTACAGAGATAAGTGTGTAAATTACTGGTATATGTTTGAAAATTTTTGATAGAAAAACAAGAGATAACTGTTTCTAGTAATTGATTCCACTCTTTAACTGTCTATCTTAAGTAAGTATGATGAGCTGATTGTTTTGAGTTGTAAAAATTAGACATATGAACTGTTGTTTGAACAATATTTCTGTAAGTTTTGCCATATGAATAGCGAAACGTCTGTCATTAAGCAGTAATCAATGACAGATGGAATTCTAAGAAAAATATTGGGAACCCTGGAATTGCATTTTAGTTTCAGATCAACAATCTTCATTATTTTAATGATAAAATACCAGGCACTTTCGTTTACACTACAAATGAAACGCAAAATACAAAAAATAATTCCTCTTTTTTTGTTTAAAACTAAAATAATATTAATTGTTGATCCATTACAAGTAATTTTGTTAGAGTAGTTGAAAACATCGAACGTCTCTGTGTTTGCATCGTGAGATAAAGTAAAATAGAGTCTTAATTCACGGGAAATTATCAAGTATGCATGCTAGACGATATATCCAGATGTTAAACGAAAAATTCATCCACTGTGAGTGTCGTAACGTAAATTTTCTACTAAAAAATAAAAGAAACTTTTTATCTAATGCAAAATGGATATGATGATGTGCTGATGTGACTAAATAAAAACAAAAATATTTTTTTACTATTGAATCTTTCTCGAATGTTCTATTAAATTTTTGAATCAATAATACTGATTGTATAATTACTATATCCTGGATTTATGCATCTCAAACTTCTATTAAACTTTTATTCGCTCAATTAGTTCACAGGGTTCAACTTGAGACATGAAGTTTATTCAATCATTATTTTCTTTCTTAAAAAACTAAAGTACATTGAAATTGCACATAGAAGAAAATTAAATTAATGGTAAAAAAAGAAATCGATGTTATAGTGAAGAGAGAGAGAAAGAGAGAATCAAAAAAGCTGATAAAATCAATAATTGCTATTTTCATTTTCTTAGTAAAATAAGAATAAGAGAAGAAAACCCATATGATTTGATTTGTGAAAATTTTCTTTCAAGAATAAATGATAGATATGATAGTTTATTTTTTTTTTCTTCTTATTCTAAATTTATCTGAAGCGGAAATATTTTGTTTTTTTCAATTTGTCTTCTGTATGAAATAAGAGTTCTTTTCAACGCAGAAACAAAAAAAAAAAGAAGAGAAAGCTCACATTTTTATTTTTCAATTAGAAACATTAGACAAAGTAGGTTAGTATGTTATGTATATAAATATCTATATATATATATGAGAAGTAAAGGCTGATAAATTTAATTTGAACATAATATATAGTGTCGAACTAAATTAAATGCATTGTCATTATTGTAAAACTGTAATGATAATGTAAATATGTCAGACATCATCGTACATTCTCTATTATTTTTGATAATAGCGAACAAGGTTTTTTATTTATTATTAACACACATTTCATGACAATAGGAGACGATTTAGCGCAGTGTTATATTATCTAATTTATATTAGATTATTGATTTTTTAATTTCTATCATACATGTTTAAAGTCTAAAATATACATCTTCAAAGTCTTTTGCTTCTTTCTTCTTTAAAAATGATTAATTAAATTACAAATGAGATTTTAAAAATACTTCAATTAGGAAAAATGCCTGAAGTTTTTTTTCTTCTATTGTTCTGATGATAAAACATATAGAGCATGTCACGTACGAAATTTCAGTAAATTCAAGTGTGCTCACGTTGATATATATATATACATATGCATATACTCTCTTGTCTTTTCTCGAGGAAACATCAGTGAATTTTCTGCTCTTCTATTTAAACGTTGTTAAATATCGTTGATTTGTAATTCAAATAAATGAACTAAGGTATGATCTCGAAATTGGACTACTATTACCAATTATTTTAAAAAAGTACATTCAGCGTTCATATAGACAGTTAAAAGTTATCAAATCCTACTAAAGAGAAGAAGTGAAAAATTAGAAGGTAAGACACTTCCTGTTTTATATGAGTGAGAGAGATTATGATAGAACAGAAAGAAGCAAAGCACAAAAGAATACTACATAACTGATGGAATCAGCCACTTAAACTTTGAATTCAAATACAAAATATTTACTTTTGGACTAAACTATCCCAAAATAAACTGTGCGGTGTTCCCATTTTTGTTCTGTGCACTGCTATAGCGTATTCTACACCCACTGTTTTAAGCTATACTGCTTATATCTTTAATCAGTCACCAAAGCCTGTGTATAGTCAGTGATGAGTTACAGAGTGAAACACATGTGATACAAAAAGAGATATGATACACACATGTGACATAGGCACTCCGGTCTCACGAGTGATATTCCAGTCGGGATATAGGGTATATTCCGAACAGTATATCGAAGAAAATTTATAACCTGATCGGGATATTTTTGCAAAACATTTTGGAAAAAATCATTATCGCCAAAATAGTGACATTATTGCAGAAAAGTGACTATAGCATAATAAAACGGATAAAAAACTGAGTCGAAATCCATGTTGCTCTAATCTTGATTCAAAAGTCTATCGTTTATGATTTCTTAAATCCCAACTGAGATATACGAAATAGCCTGACCGGGATATTATCTCGTCGAGAAATGTGCATAAATAGGTCGATGCTTTTTTGAGTAGCTCATAAAGGAGCCCAGTTCATAGCAATCTACTCACTCTGATTATAGCCCAAACGGACTATATATCCTGTTCAAGATATTCTAGCCCGATCGGAATATATTTTTATATCTCGAATGGTATATATCCCGCTCGGACTATGAGACCGGACTGACAGGTAGTGTCGAGGAGATGGAATGAGAATAGACACTATACGTTTTTTTCATAGAGAGACTATATTACAGAGCAGAAAAGCTATCTATACTAATCGTCACTGCAAACCAAATGATTATATCGATAAAGCGCCTCCTGTCAACGTTAATGGTGAGTCTATTGCATATTTATTCAAAGGCATTTTTCTTTTTAAGTTAATCAAAGAAAATAAAATCCTTTGTCATATTCATTTTTTTGGTCGTTTGTCGATATCTTCAGAACATGCTCTACCAACTCTACTACTTAAGTCTTTTCAGTTATTTATAACTTGTTATGCTTAGAAATCAACGCAACCTCTAACGAGGGAACCTCTCGAGGTTATAAATCGCTTTTTAATCGAAATCTAGTGGTTTATAGATTATCGAGCATGCTGATTCCGAATATGATTATGGGAACTGCCCATGGTCGTTCGAAGATCCGTTCTTCTGAAAAACTGGCTTTCCAGAAATTCTAAAGAATAACCAAAATCTTTCTTAAGGAAACATCGTTGTAGCCCGCAAATTTCTGAGTAAAATGAGACATCTCCCAGCTCTACACGACCTTGGTCGATAACCTATAACTCACTAAATTTCGATCAAAAAGCGATTTATAACCTCGAGAGGCTTCCTCGTAAGGCAGACAACCGCTGTTCCTCTTTTGGGGTTTCTCACGAAATTATCGTCGTTCTCATACTTTGTAATAGTGTTTAGAGGTTTCTTAGGTGAAAGTTAACTATTTTTTGTTCGCGTTTTATTCTTATTCAAATAAAATAGAAAAATTCATCTCCGAACGATCAACAATATATTTTAATCGGTATGTAAACGGTTCAGTTTTATTCCTTTTTAAATAACAATAATATGCTTAAATGTAAAAGAAAAAATCATCTATTTTTGGCTAGAATTTTGTTGACTGTAAAAGAAAAAAAGTAGCTTAAACTCAGTAATATATATTTTTCTGCCTTCTTATGCAAACAATAGAATTCTCTCTCTTTTCTACTTTTTTCTCTATTGGAAAAGAAAAGGTACTTCTCGAAACAAATATTGTCGTTAAGAAGAAATAGCAATGAATGTTATCGTGATTGGATCTAATGCGGAGATATTGTTACAAGCAAAATAGTCAGACAAACAGTGGCGTTCTTAGAAAACTGAAACTTTGTTAGTTAATCATCCTCTTCTCAGTTTTTAATATCACATTTCTTTTTCTTTTTTTTTTTTGAAAACTCACTCTGTTTTTCTTTCTAAACTACAGCTAATTTAAAAGATATGGAGAAAATCAGCATACAGTATGAGTACATCAAGTTTTATCACATTTTCTGGCATTGTATTTGACCACCTGACAATTAGAAGTTTTGATTTGAAACAAATTTGATATAAGTTTGACCATCTTGTGCAAAACCACATTCAGAGTCGGTATATGTGAGATAGAAAAATGCAAAAATTTCTTGTCTAGTAAAGTCATTACTAATTAACATCTTCCACTCTCTTCCTTAGTCATATTTACCAGTTATTCGTCAATTTAACTCATTAAAAGTCGTTTTTCATTACTAACAACTATTATTTTCTTTCTTGTTCAATCATTTCTAGTAAATATTTTTAAATTTTAATATTTATTTAGTTGATTTGTATGATTTATTATGCAGTTAAAATTTGATTTATTTTCTTCAAAAGTTTTTCTATTCTACTTAATAATTTGTTTTTCCACGCTACATTTTTTTAGGAGGGGGGTGTATCTAGAATAACAACAACAACAAATTTTTTAGAGATCTAGAAAAAATGATTTTCTGAATAGAGAAAATCTATTTTTTTTCATTATGCTGTATGTGTAAAAAACTTTTTTATTCATTATTTTGTACATAAAAAGCATCTAAGTGTATAGTCGTGTCTACAAAATGATCTTGACAGATTGCCTGTAATAATTGCGAACAGCGAGAATATATTAGTTTCTCTCTCTCTCTCTCTCTATCTCTCTCTCTCTCTCTCTCTCTCTCTCTCTCTCTCTCTCTCAAAGTATGTGTTTTACGCCTGATGTTGTTCGCGTTAATAAATAATGCTCATCAAAGCGAGAAAAATAAAGCAAGTAAGAGAAGAGAGTGATTAATGTTTGGTAAAAAATAAAATAAAATAAAAGAAGACTTAAAAAGAGCCTGTTGACTAAATTTATTTTACTAGTAAATAAATGAGATCATTGTGGATATATACACACACAAATATTGCTAATTAGAATAACGTACATTAATAATCAATCATACAAATTAGAGACAAGGAAAAAGATCAGACTACTATTATTTTCAATACACAATATGACAATATTGTCTAACTAATCTGAAAATAGAAAATACAAAAAAAGTATATAGCTTTTAATGACTCAGTAACTGTTTTTTGAGACTCTAACTTTTACTTCTTTCTAACTTATAAATTGTGAACATGGTCTCATTTACTGGCAGAAAAAAAAAGAAGAAGAAAAGCCATTTAAGAGCTTATTGATATAGTATTTAGAAGAACGACATAATATTTTTGTCTGATACTATTTAACAAAAAAAGAAAAGAAAAACACATTATTTTTTTTTTCTTCTTCCTTTTTGTTTTCTCTGAACGAATATTAGTTGACGATTGTTTATTTGCACATGTATATGACAGGAAACAGAAGTGTGTACGGAAAAAACAAAAAGAACGAAAAAAGAGAAGAAAAAAAAACAATATTAGTGTACAAATATTATTTTATTTTTATTTTCTGTTGTTTTTTTTTGGAATAACACTAAACATGCGGTTAGTAGAAGAGAAAAATAAATAGTATTTATCATCTTAGTAATGAGTGAAACGTAAGAACAACAATAACAAGATGTAGTTAGTAACAACATTTTTGTATCATTAACAGTATCAATTAAAAAATGTCTTGTCTTGTTTTTTATTTTTGTCTGCTGTTTTCTTCTTAGAATTTTATTTTTAAATTAAAAAAATTGAAGATAAAATGTAAGAAACTGTACTAGAGATTAGAAAAATTTTCTTTTTTTCTAAGTTTCATTAGATTGTAGAATTTATTTTATATTTAATAACATCGTATGTCAAATGATAAACTTGTTCGTCATAAAATTTAAGAAGAAAAAAGTAGAAGAAAGAGAAAAAAAAAGAAGAAATGTTTTATAGTGAAACAGTGTGAAATATTTCATATGTTTTATTATTTGTTTCTGTATGTATGTGATGTATGTGTGTGAGTGCGTACACGCGGGGGTGGTTAATACACCCAGTCCTACAACTACACTTTCTCCTACTACTTTTTCTCTTACGTAATTTTTCCGTTTGTTTTCTTTTTCTCTTCTCTTATTATAGATATATATATTTTTTCTTTTTTTTTTTTATTCTTTGAACGATGACAATCATCCTGGATATTATTTGATCTAGAAACACGATAAAAAAAAATTATAGATGATGGATAGATCAATTGAAAATTTACAATTAAATTAAAAAATATCTGACAGCAATTAATACAAACAAAAATTTAAATGGCAAACAATAATAAATATTCAACGCTAAGTACGTTTAAGGTAAGAGATTCATTTTTTTTTATATAAGTATTTTATTATTACTCTCATATGCACTTTAAAAAGAATTTATTTATTATTCGTATAAATAATATGAAGATTTACAATTAATGGAGATATTATGTGTGTATGTGTAATTTTTTTTTCTTCTTTCTTTCTTTCTTTCTTTCTTTTTTTTTTTGACGAATATCTTGACTCTTTAAATATTTTTAATTCTAATGTAGAACAACAACACCAATAATAAAAAAGTCAATTTTTATAATAACATTTTCAATACTACTATACTATAATAAAGTTACTCTTGAATTTGAATACATTTTTTAGTTCTCTTCTAGAACAAATTATGACTCTTTTTTTATCTGTCATTTATTTTTTATATTTAGGATGTTGAGTAAATCGTTGTTCGGAGGGAAAAAAATAAAACGCAGCTAGCAGGCAGATGATACTAAAATAAAAGTTTCCTAAAACAGTCTTTTTTTTTTTTTGTTTGTTTGTTTTTTCTTCTTCTTCGGGATGTTATCTATTCAACGTAAAGCTGATAGTTATTTAACGTAATTGTTGTATAGTCATTCGATTTTTTCTTTTCTTTTTTTCCTATTTTCTTTTTTACGTCTAGTTCTTTTGTTTTTATGTTCAGTATATGCTGCGTTCAGATTGCAATTAAGAAGGACTGAATTAGTTTTGACATAATACTCGACAAAAAAAAAAAAAAGAAAAGAAAGAAAACTGAAAAATAAAAGCAACCTGGATCTATATTAGGAAAAGAATTAGAGAGAAGAAAAGAACTAATATAGGAGATTTACGGTTTCAAAATACATTTTTCTTTTTTTAGGAAAATTATAGGGTTGTCATTAAAAATATGTAAAAAAAGATGAAAAAGAAAAAGAAATTAATTCATATCGGGTCAATGTTAATGATCATCATTACATGAACATAAATTCTATAACTTGAGTA